AAGGATGCCCTGGTGGTCCCCCTCTTTAAGAAGGGGGGCCGCACAGACTGTAACAACTACAGGGGCATGTCACTCCTCAGTGTGCCGGGAAAGGTCCTGGCAAGGATTATTCAACATCGCCTTGCCAGGCACGCTGAGGAGAGGCTTGCGGAGCCCCAATGCAGTTTCAAGAACGGGCAGTCCTGCACAGATGCCATATTTTCTGTCCGTCTGCTACAGCAGAGGTGTAGGGAATTCCCACAAGACCTACATCTCTGCTTTATTGACCTGGTCAAAGCCTATGATACCATCAGTAGGCCTGGGCTCTGGGTTGTTCTTCGTGCTTTTTGAGTCCCTGACCCTCTGCTCACGATCATTAAGGACCTTCATGATGGTGAGTGGGCCCGGGTAAAACTACGTGGCCGGGAGTCAGAGCCATTCCCTGTTCACCTTGGGGTGCGACAGGGATGTCCTCTGGCTCCCACATTATTTAAAATCTATTTTGACCACGTAGTTCGTGAAGCCTTCAATAGCTGTACCGGGGGAATCTCCATTTGGTACAGATATTATGGGAGGCTGATCGATGCCCGGGTGCGGTCAAGGGATGGCTCCCTGTTGCTCAACCACGTTATGTATGCTGATGATTTGGTAATAGCTGCTAATTCAGGGGAGGAGTTGGCGACGCTGCTGCTGAGACTGGAGCGTGCCACTAAGAGATGGGGCCTTACCATCAGCCCCACAAAAACTAAGCACCTGCCTGGGTATGTTGTACCATCGGACACTCCACCCCCACAACTCCCAATCGGTGATGGGGCAGTTGTGGAGAGAGTGGAGAGTTTCCCATACCTGGGCAGTGTGCTTATGACCGGCTCCAGTTTAACAGCAGAGGTCTCACTCCGAATCAGTCGAGCGGCAATATCTTTTCATCGGTTGTGTAACGCTGTGTGGAAGCTACCTGGTCTGTCGCTCCGCACTAAGCTTCAGGTCTTCTCCGCCACGGTCATTCCCTCCCTTCTCTACGCTTGCGAAACGTGGACCCCCCTAATGGAACATCTTCGCCGGTTGGAAACATTTAGGCTGGCCTGCCTACGATCCATCCTGGGTTTAACCAGGCTGGATTGTGTGAAAGATCAGGGCAAGGTCCCATCGGTGAGCTCTTCCGGCAGGCAAGGCTGCGTTGGCTGGGTCATGTAGCCCGCATGCCGAAACAGCTTTTGTTCGGCCGATTCGAGGGAGCTAAACGGGCGTGGCACGGGCTAGAGAAGAGATGGAGTGTTGTGGTACAGGAGGACGTGGAGCTGAGTGGACTTGCAGATGACTGGTACCAGCGGTGTCAAGATCGACCTCTGTGGAGGAGGCTCGTGAAGGATGCTACTGGGCAGTTCGAGGCAGTCGCCCTCCAACAACAACGGAGGGCGGAGGAGCGACGCTCACAACAACGAGCGGAGCGCCGGGTGGCTAAAGCACAGCAGGTTGGCACAGTAGGGGGCACAGGTGGTGCATCAGCCAGTCATCTCAGTCAGTCGATCCGTGGCACCTGGGTCTGCCCCGTGACCTCCTGCCAGCGGGCGTTCGACACTTCACGTGGCCTCAGGGTGCACGTGGCCTGGCACAAGCGTCGTGGTGACGTCACCGCCACTTAGTGGTGAATGGCGGTTGTTGTTGTTGTCACTGTGTGTGTCACTGTGTGTGTGTCACTGTGTCTCTGTGTGTGTGTCACTGTGTGTGTCACTGTGTGTGTGTCACTGTGTGTGTCACTGTGTGTGTGTGTCACTGTGTCTCTGTTTGTGTGTCACTGTGTGTGTCACTGTGTGTGTGTCACTGTGTGTGTCACTGTGTGTGTGTGTCACTGTGCGTGTCACTGTGTGTGTTTCACTGTGCATGTGTGTCACTGTGTGTGTCACTGTGTGTGTCACTGTGTGTCACTGTCTGTGTGTCACTGTGTGTGTGTCACTGTGTATGTGTCACTGTGTCTCTGTGTGTGTGTCACTGTGTGTTGCACTGTGTGTGTCACTGTGTGTGTCACTTTGTGTGTGTCACTGTATGTGTCACTGAGTGTGTCACTGTGTGTGTGTCACTGTGTATCTGTGTGTGTCACTGTGTGTGTGTGTTACTGTGTGTGTGTGTCACTGTGTGTGTGTGTCACTGTGTGTGTCACTGTGTGTGTGTGTCACTGTGTGTGTCTGTGTGTGTCTCTCTGTGTGTGTGTCACTGTGTGTGTCACTGTGTGTGTCACTGTGTGTGTGTCACTGTGTGTGTCACTGTGTGTGTGTGTGTTAATGTGTGTGTGTCACAGTGTGTGTGTGTCACTGAGTGTGTCTGTGTGTGTCACTGAGTGTGTCTGTGTGTGTCACTGAGTGTGTCTGTGTGTGTCACTGTGTGTGTGTGTGTCACTGTGTGAGTGTGTCACTGTGTGTGTGTCACTGTGTGTGTCACTGTGTGTGTCACTGTGTGAGTGTGTCTCTGTGTGTGTCGCTGTGTGAGTGTGTCACTGAGTGTGTCACTGTGTGTGTGTGTCACTGTGTGTGTCACTGTGTGTCACTGTGTGTGTCACTTTGTGTGTGTCACTGTATGTGTCACGGAGTGTGTCACTGTGTGTGTCACTGTGTGTGTGTCACTGTGTGTGTGTCACTGTGTGTGTGTCACTGTGTGTATGTCACTGTGTTTGTGTCACTGTGTGTATGTCACTCTGTTTGTGTCACTGTGTGTGTGTGTCACTGTGTGTGTGTCACTGTGTGTGTGTGTCACTGTGTGTGTCACTGTGTGTGACACTGTGTGTGTGTCACTGTGTGTGTGTCACTGTGTGTGTGTGTCACTGTGTGTGTCACTGTTTGTGTGTCACTAAGTGTGTCACTGTGTGTGTGTCATTGTGAGTGTGTCACTGAGTGTGTCACTGTGTGTGAGTGTGTCACTGCGCGTGTGTCACTGTGTGAGTGTGTCACTGAGTGTGTCACTGTGTGTGTCACTGTGTGTCACTGTGTGTGTGTCACTGTGTGTGTCACTTTGTGTGTGTCACTGAGTGTGTCACTGTGTGTGTCACTGTGTGTGTGTCACTGTGTGTGTCACTGTGTGTAACACTGTGTGTGTCACTGTGTGTGTGTCACTGTGTGAGTGTGTCTCTGTGTGTGTCACTGTGTGAGTGTGTCACTGAGTGTGTCACTGAGTGTGTCACTGTGTGTGTGTCACTGTGTGTGTGTCACTGAGTGTGTCTGTGTGTGTCACTGAGTGTGTCTGTGTGTGTCACTGAGTGTGTCTGTGTGTGTCACTGTGTGTGTGTCACTGTGTGAGTGTGTCACTGTGTGTGTGTCACTGTGTGTGTCACTGTGTGTGTCACTGTGTGAGTGTGTCTCTGTGTGTGTCACTGTGTGAGTGTGTCACTGTGTGTGTCACTGTGTGTCACTGTGTGTGTCACTTTGTGTGTGTCACTGTATGTGTCACGGAGTGTGTCACTGTGTGTGTGTCACTGTGTCTGTGTGTGTGTGTCACTGTGTGTGTCAGTGTGTGTCACTGTGTGTGTGTCACTGTGTGTGTGTCACTGTGTGTGTCACTGTGTGTGTCACTGTGTGTCACTGTGTGTGTGTCACTGTGTGTGTCAGTGTGTGTCACTGTGTGTGTCACTGTGTGTGAGTGTGTCACTGCGTGTGTGCCACTGTGTGTGTCACTGTGTATCACTGTGTGTGTCACTGTGTGTGTGTCACTGTGTGTGTCACTGTGTGAGTGTGTCACTGAGTGTGTCACTGTGTGTCACTGTGTGTGTGTCACTGTGTGTGTTACTGTGTGTCACTGTGTGTGTGTCACTGTGTGTGTCACTGTGTGTGTCACTGTGTGTGTGTCACTGAGTGCGTCACTGTGTGTGTGTCACTGTGTGTGTGTCACTGTGTGTGTCACTGTGTGTGTGTCATTGTGTGCATTTGTCACTGAGTGTGTCACTGTGTGTGTCACTGAGTGTGTCACTGTGTGTGTGTCACTGAGTGTGACACTGTGTGTGTGTCACTGTGTGTGTGTCACTGAGTGTGTCACTGTGTGTGTCACTGTGTGTGTGTCACTGAGTGTGTCACTGTGTGTGTGTCATTGTGTGTGTGTCACTGTGTGTGTGTCACTGAGTGTGTCACTGTGTGTATCACTGTGTGTGTCACTGTGTGTGTCACTGAGTGTGTCACTGTGTGTGTCACTGAGTGTGTCACTGTGTGTGTGTCACTGTGTGTGTCACTGTGTGTGTGTCACTGAGTGTGACACTGTGTGTGTGTCACTGTGTGTGTGTCACTGTGTGTGTGTCACTGAGTGTGACACTGTGTGTGTGTCACTGTGTGTGTGTCACTGTGTGTGTGTCACTGTGTGTGTCACTGTGTGTGTGTCACTGTGTGTGTGTCACTGTGTGTGTGTCACTGAGTGTGACACTGTGTGTGTGTCACTGTGTGTGTGTCACTGAGTGTGTCACTGTGTGTGTCACTGTGTGTGTGTCACTGAGTGTGTCACTGTGTGTGTGTCATTGTGTGTGTGTCACTGTGTGTGTCACTGTGTGTGTGTCACTGTGTGAGTGTGTCTCTGTGTGTGTGTGTGTCACTGTGTGAGTGTGTCACTGAGTGTGTCACTGTATGTGTCACTGTGTGTGTGTCACTGAGTGTGTTACTGAGTCTGTCATTGTATGAGTGTCACTGTGTGTGTCACTGTGTGTGTGTGTGTGTGTCACTGAGTGTGTCACTGTGTGTGCGTGTCACAGAGAGTGTCACTGTGTGTGTCAGACTGCTGCTACTGACTGCACTTGCCCCTACAGCCCTGTTAGAGGCCACCTGGGGGACATTTGTCTCTGTGTGCCAGTGAGACCTCCATACTGCTGATGATGATGCTGCTGCTGATGATGATGCTGCTGCTGATGATGCTGCTGATGATGCTGCTGCTGATGATGCTGATAATGATGCTGATGATGATGATGCTGCTGATGATGATGCTGCTGATGATGTTGTTGATGTCTGATGATGTTGTTGATAATGATGATTATGCTGATGATGCTGCTGCTGATGCTGATGATGTTGTTGATGTCTGGGCAGTGTCATCAGCAAGCCCCGTAACTCGTCCCTGGTGAAGCTCACCGTGGATCAGCTGCTCAGAGGTTACGACATTCGCCTGAGACCCGACTTTGGAGGTGAAGCATCACCATCATCATCAGCATCATCATCAGCATCGTCATCATCAGCATCATCATCATCACCATCAGCATCATCATCAGCATCATCACCACCATCACTATCACGACCATCACTATCACCACCATCGTCACAACCACCACCATCACCACCACCATCACCATCACCACCACCATCATCACCACCACCACCATCACCACCACCATCACCACCATCTCCACCATCACCATCACCACCACCGCCACCACCACCATCACCACCTCCACCACCACCACCATCTCCACCATCACCACCACCACCACCACGACCACCACCACCATCACCACCATCACGATCACCACCATCACCATCACCACCATCACCACCATCACCATCACCAACATCACCATCATCACCATCACCACCATCACCACCATCAACGCCACCATCACCATCACCACCACCATCAGCATCACCACCACCATCACCATCACCACCACCATCACCATCAACACCACCACCACCATCACCACCACCATCACCACCACCATCACCATCACCACCACCATCACCACCAGCACCATCACCATCACCACCACCATCATCACCACCACCACCACCACCATCACCACCACCATCACCACCACCATCACCACCATCACCACGATCACCACCATCACCATCACCACCATCACCACCACCACCATCACCACCATCACCATCACCACCATCACCATCACCACCATCACCACCACCATCACCACCATCACCACCACCACCACCACCACGACCACCACCACCATCACCACCATCACGATCACCACCATCACCATCACCACCATCACCATCACCAACATCACCATCATCACCATCATCACCATCACCACCATCACCACCACCATCACCATCACCACCACCATCACCATCAACACCACCACCACCATCACCACCACCATCACCACCACCATCACCATCACCACCACCATCACCACCATCACCATCACCACCACCATCATCACCACCACCACCACCATCACCACCACCATCACCACCACCATCACCACCATCACCACGATCACCACCATCACCATCACCACCATCACCACCATCACCATCACCACCATCACCATCACCACCATCACCAACACCATCACCACCATCACCACCACCATCACCACCACCATCACCACCATCACCACCACGATCACCACCATCACCATCACCACCATCACCACCACCACCATCACCACCATCACCACCACCACCATCACCACCATCACCACCACCATCACCACCACCATTACCACCATCACCACCACCATCACCACCACCATCACCACCACCATCACCACCACCATCACCACCATCACCATCACCACCACCATCACCACCATCACCACCACCATCACCACCACCATCACCACCCCCACCACCACGATCACCACCATCACCATCACCACCATCATCATCACCACCACCACCATCACCACCACCATCACCACCACCATCACCACCATCACCACCACGATCACCACCATCACCACCATCACCACCACCACCACCATCACCACCACCATTATCACCATCACCATCATCACCATCACCATCACCACCACCATCACCACCACCACCATCACCACCACCACCACCATCACCACCTCCACCACCACCACCACCATCTCCACCATCACCATCACCACCACCACCACCACCACCATCACGACCACCACCACCATCACCACCATCACGATCACCACCACCACCATCACCACCATCACCATCACCACCACCATCACCACCACCGTCACCATCACCACCACCATCACCACCACCACCACCATCACCATCACCACCACCATCATCACCACCACCACCACCACCATCATCACCACCACCACCACCATCTCCACCACGATCACCACCATCACCATCACCACCATCACCACCATCACCACCATCACCATCACCACCATCACCACCACCATCACCACCACCATCACCACCATCACCACCACCATCTCCACCATCACCACCACGATCACCACCATCACCATCACCACCATCACCACCACCACCATCACCACCATCACCACCATCACCACCACCACCATCACCACCATCACCACCACCACTACCACCATCACCACCACCACCATCACCACCACCATCACCACCATCACCATCACCACCACCATCACCACCATCACCACCACCATCACCACCACCATCACCACCATCACCACCACGATCACCACCATCACCATCACCACCATCATCACCACCACCACCACCATCATCACCACCACCACGACCACCATCACCACCATCACCACCATCACCACCACCATCACCACCACCATCACCACCATCACCACCACGATCACCATCACCACCATCACCACCATCACCACCACCACCATCACCACCACCATCATCACCATCACCATCATCACCATCACCATCACCACCACCATCACCACCACCACCATCACCACCACCATCATCACCACCACCACCATCACCATCACCACCACCATCACCATCACCACCACCATCACCATCACCACCACCATCACCACCACCACCACCATCACCACCATCATCACCACCACCATCACCACCACCATCACCATCACCACCACCACCATCACCACCACCACCACCATCACCACCATCACCACCACCATCACCACCACCATCACCACCATCACCATCACCACCACCATCATCACCATCACCACCACGATCACCACCATCACCATCACCACCATCACCACCATCACGACCACCATCATCACCATCACCACCATCACCATCACCACCACCACCACTACCATCACCACCATCATCACCACCACCATCACCACCATCACCATCACCACCACAATCACCATCACCACCACCACCACCATCACCACCACTACCATCACCACCACCATCACCACCATCATCAGTGGCATCTTTCGTGATTAAGGGAACGAATGGAGGAGGGGAAGGAATCACGATTCTGTGTGTGGGGGGCTTTAGCCCCCTCCGCATGAAGGACTAAGTGAATGAGTCAAACGAATGAATAGATGACGACATGAGTGAATTCATGAATGAAGCTGCAGTGGGTTGAGGTTCGCCCCACCGCCCGGGAGTTACTAAACGAATGAGTGAGTGAATGAATCACTGTGTGAGTGAGTGAACGAGTGAGTGAATCACTGTGTGAGTGAGTGAGTGAACGAGTGAGTGAATGAATCACTGTGTGAGTGAGTGAACGAGTGAGTGAATCACTGTGAGTGAGTGAACGAGTCAGTGAATGAATCACTGTGTGAGTGAGTGAACGAGTGAGTGAATCACTGTGTGTGAATGAATGAGTGAATGGGTGAGTGAATGAATCACTGTGTGAGTGAGTGAACGAGTGAGTGAATCACTGTGTGTGAATGAATGAGTGAGTGAATGAATCACTGGTTGAGTGAGTGAACGAGTCAGTGAATGAATCACTGTGTGAGTGAGTGAACGAGTCAGTGAATGAATCACTGTGTGAGTGAGTGAACGAGTGAGTGAATCACCGTGTGTGAATGAATGAGTGAATGGGTGAGTGAATGAATCACTGTGTGAGTGAGTGAACGAGTGAGTGAATCACTGTGTGTGAATGAATGAGTGAATGGGTGAGTGAATGAATCACTGTGTGAGTGAGTGAACGAGTGAGTGAATCACAGTGTGTGAATGAATGAGTGAGTGAATGAATCACTGTGTGAGTGAGTGAACGAGTGAGTGAATCACTGTGTGTGAATGAATGAGTGAGTGAATGAATCACTGTGTGAGTGAGTGAACGAGTGAGTGAATGAATCACTGTGTGAGTGAGTGAACGAGTGAGTGAATCACTGTGTGTGAATGAATGAGTGAGTGAATGAATCACTGTGTGAGTGAGTGAACGAGTGAGTGAATGAATCACTGTGTGAGTGAGTGAACGAGTGAGTGAATCACTGTGTGTGAATGAATGAGTGAATGGGTGAGTGAATGAATCACTGTGTGAGTGAGTGCGTGAACGAGTGAGTGAGTGAATCACTGTGTGTGAATGAATGCGTGAATGGGTGAGTGAAGGGATCACTGTGTGTGAATGAATGAGTGAGTGAATGAATCACTGTGTGAGTGAGTGAACGAGTGAGTGAGTGAATCACTGTGGAGTGAGTGAATGAGTGAGTTAGTGAATCACCGTGTGTGAATGAATGAGTGAATGGATGAGTGAATGAATCACTGTGTGAGTGAGTGAACGAGTGAGTGAATCACTGTGTGTGAATGAATGAGTGAATGGGTGAGTGAATGAATCACTGTGTGTGAATCAATGATTGAATGGGTGAGTGAATGAATAACTGTGTGAGTGAGTGAATCACTGTGTGTGAATGAATGAGTGAATGGGTGAGTGAATTAATCACTGTGTGAGTGAATTAATCACTGTGTGAGTGATTGAATCACTGTGTGAGTGAGTGAGTGAACGAGTGAGTGAATCACTGTGTGTGAATGAATGAGTGAATGGGTGAGTGAATCAATCACTGTGTGTGAATGAATGAGTGAATGGGTAAGTGAATGAATCACTGTGTGTGAATGAATGAGTGAGTGAATGAATCACTGTGTGAGTGAGTGAACGAGTGAGTGAGTGAATCACTGTGTGTGAATGAATGAGTGAATGGGTTAGTGAATGAATCACTGTGTGTGAATGAATGAGTGAATGAATCACTGTGTGAGTGAGTGAACGTGTGAGTGAATCAATGTGTGAGTGATTGAACGAGTGAGTGAATGAGGTAGTGAATGAATCAGTGTGTGAGTGTGAATGAGTGAGTGAATGAGTGAATGAGTGAGCGAATGAGGTCGTGAATGAATCAGTGACTGTGTGTGTGTGACTGAGTGAATGAGGGAGTGAACGAGTGAGTGATTGAATCACTGTGTGAGTGAGTGAGTGAACGAGTGAGTGAGTTAATCACTGTGTGTGAATGAATGCGTGAATGGGTGAGTGAATGAATCACTGTGTGTGAATGAATGAGTGAATGAATCACTGTGTGAGTGAGTGAACGAGTGAGTGAGTGAATCACTGTGTGAGTGATTGAACGAGTGAGTGAATGAGGTAGTGAATGAATCAGTGTGAGTGTGACTGAGTGAGTGAGGGAGTGAATGAGTGAGTGAATGAATCACTGTGTGAGTGTGTGAGCGGGTGAATGAGTGAACGAGTAAGTGGATGAATACATCACTGTGTGTGATTGAGTGGGTGAATGAACGAGTGAATGAGTGAGTGAATGAATCACTGTGTGAGTGTGTGGGTGTGTGAATGTGTGAACGAGTGAGTGAATGAGTGAGGGAATTAATCACTGTGTGTGCGTGTGTGAATGAGTGAATGAATGAGTGAGTGAATGAATCACTGCGTGTGAGTGTGTGAATGAGTGATCGAGTGAGTGAATGAGTGAATGAATCACTGTCTGAGAGTGTGTGAATGAGTGAACAAGTGAGTGAATGAGTGTGTGAATGAATCACTGTGTGTGTGAATGAGCGAACGAATGAGAGAATGAATCACTGTGCGAGTGTGTGAATGAGTGAACGAATGAGTGAATGAGTGAGGGAATGAATCACTGTGTGATTGTGTGAATGAGTGAACGAATGAGTGAATGAGTGAGTGAATGAATCACTGTGTGTGAGTGTGTGAATGAGTGAACGAGTGAGTGAATCACTGTGTGTGAATGAATGCGTGAATGGGTGAGTGAAGGGATCACTGTGTGTGAATGAATGAGTGAGTGAATGAATCACTGTGTGAGTGAGTGAACGAGTGAGTGAGTGAATCACTGTGGAGTGAGTGAATGAGTGAGTTAGTGAATCACCGTGTGTGAATGAATGAGTGAATGGATGAGTGAATGAATCACTGTGTGAGTGAGTGAACGAGTGAGTGAATCACTGTGTGTGAATGAATGAGTGAATGGGTGAGTGAATGAATCACTGTGTGTGAATCAATGATTGAATGGGTGAGTGAATGAATAACTGTGTGAGTGAGTGAATCACTGTGTGTGAATGAATGAGTGAATGGGTGAGTGAATTAATCACTGTGTGAGTGAATGCATCACTGTGTGAGTGATTGAATCACTGTGTGAGTGAGTGAACGAGTGAGTGAATCACTGTGTGTGAATGAATGAGTGAATGGGTGAGTGAATCAATCACTGTGTGTGAATGAATGAGTGAATGGGTAAGTGAATGAATCACTGTGTGTGAATGAATGAGTGAGTGAATGAATCACTGTGTGAGTGAGTGAACGAGTGAGTGAATCACTGTGTGTGAATGAATGAGTGAATGGGTTAGTGAATGAATCACTGTGTGTGAATGAATGAGTGAATGAATCACTGTGTGAGTGAGTGAACGTGTGAGTGAATCAATGTGTGAGTGATTGAACGAGTGAGTGAATGAGGTAGTGAATGAATCAGTGTGTGAGTGTGACTGAGTGAGTGAGGGAGTGAATGAGTGAGTGATTGAATCACTGTGTGAGTGAGTGAGTGAACGAGTGAGTGAGTTAATCACTGTGTGTGAATGAATGCGTGAATGGGTGAGTGAATGAATCACTGTGTGTGAATGAATGAGTGAATGAATCACTGTGTGAGTGAGTGAACGAGTGAGTGAATGAATCACTGGCTGAGAGTGTGTGAATGAGTGAACAAGTGAGTGAATGAGTGTGTGAATGAATCACTGTGTGTGTGAATGAGCGAACGAATGAGAGAATTAATCACTGTGCGAGTGTGTGAATGAGTGAACGAATGAGTGAATGAGTGAGGGAATGAATCACTGTGTGTGATTGTGTGAATGAGTGAACGAATGAGTGAATGAGTGAGTGAATGAATCACTGTGTGTGAGTGTGTGAATGAGTGAACGAGTGAGTGAATGAGTGAGTGAATGGATCACTGTGTGTGTGAGTGTGCGAATGAGTGAACGAGTGAGTGAATGAGTGTGTGAATGAATCACTGTGTGTGAGTGTGTGTGAATGAGTGAACGAATGAGTGAATGAATCACTGTGTGAGTGTGTGAATGAGTGAACGAGTGAATGAGTGAGGGAATGAATCACTGTGTGGGAGTGTGTGAATGAGTGAACGAGTGAATGAGTGAGTGAATGCATCACTGTGTGTGGGAGTGTGTGAATGAATGAACGAATGAGTGAATGAATCACTGTGTGTGAGTGTGTGAATGAGTGAACGAATGAGCGAATGAATCACTGTGTGTGAGTGTGTGAATGAGTGAACGAATGATTGAATGAGTCAGTGAATGAATCACTGTGTGAGTGTGTGAATAAGTGAACGAATGAGTGAATGAGTGAGGAAATGAATCACTATGTGTGTGAGTGTGTGAATGATTGATCGAGTGAGTGAATGAGTGAGTGAATCACTGTGTATGAGTGTGTGAATGAGTGAAAGAATGAGTGAATGAGTGAGGGAATGAATCACTGTGTGTGAGTGTGTAAATGAGTGAACGAATGAGTGAGTGAATCACTGTGTGTGAGTGTGTGAATGAGTGAAGGAATGATTGAACGAATGAGTGAATGAGTGAGTGAATGAATCACCGTGTGTGAGTGAGTGTGTGAGTGTGTGCGTTTGTGAATGAGTGAATGAGTGAGTGAATGAATCACCGTGTGTGAGTGACTGTCTGAGTGTGTGAATGAGTGAACGAGTGAGTGAATGAGTGAGTGAATGAATCACTGTGTGTGAGTGTGTGAGTGTGTGAGTGTGTGAATGAGTGAACGAGTGAGTGAATGGGTGAGTGAATGAATAACTGTGTGAGTGTGTGAGTGTGTGAATTATTGAACGAATGAGTGAATGAGTGAGTGAATGAATCACTGTGTGTGCGTGTGTGAGTGTGTGATTGAGTGAAAGATTGAGTGAATGAATTACTGTGTGTGTGAGTGTGTGAGTGTGTGAATGCTTGAACGAATGAGTGAATGAGTGAGTGAATGAATCACTGTGTGTGAGTGTGTGTGTGAGTGTGTGAGTGTGTGAATGAGTGAAAGATTGAGTGAATGAGTGAGGGAATGAATCACTGTATGTGAGTGTGTGAATGAGTGAGTGAATGAGTGAGTGAATGAATCACTGTGTGTGAGTGTGTGAATGCGTGAACGAATGAGGGAATGAATCACTGTGTGTGAGTGTGTGAATGAGTGAATGAGTGAGTGAATGAATTACTGTGTGTGAGTGTGAACGAGTAAATGAGTGAATGAGTGAATAGATCACTGTGTGAGTGTGTGAATGAGTGAACGAATGAGTGATGGAATGAATCACTGTGTGTGTGAGTGTGTGAATGAGTGAATGAGTGAGTGAATGAATCACTGTGTTTGAGTGAGTGTGTGTGAATGAGTGAATTAGTGAGTGAATGAATCACTGTGTGTGAGTGTGTGAGTGTGAACGAGTGAATGAGTGAATGAATGAGTGAATAGATCACTGTGTGAGTGTGTGAATGAGTGAACGAATGAGTGATGGAATGAATCACTGTGTGAGTGTGTGAATGAGTGAGGGAATGAATCACTGTGTGTGAGTGTGTGAGTGTGTGAATGAGTGAATGAGTGAGTGAATGAATCACTGTGTTTGAGTGAGTGTGTGAGTGTGTGTGAATGAGTGAATTAGTGAGTGAATGAATCACTGTGTGTGAGTGTTTGAGTGTGAACGATTGAATGAGTGAATAGATCACTGTGTGAGTGTGTGAATGAGTGAACGAATGAGTGATGGAATGAATCACTGTGTGTGTGAGTGTTTGAATGAGTGAGGGAATGAATCACTGTGTGTGAGTGTGTGAATGAGTTAACGAATGAGTGAAGGAGTGAGTGAATGAGTGAGGGAATGAATCACTGTGTGTGAGTGTGCAGGTCCTCCCGTGCTGGTTGGTATGAGCATCGACATCGCCAACATCGACACCGTCTCAGAGGTCAACATGGTGAGAGTTTGGACCTCCCCTGGGTCCACTCAGACAGAAATCACTCAGCCAATTACTCAGTCACTCACTCACTCACCCACTCACTCAACCACTCACTCACCCACTCACTCACCCACTCACTCATCCACTCACTCACTCACCCACTCACTCACCCACTCACCCACTCACTCACCCACCCACTCACTCACTCACCCACTCACTCACTCACCCACTCACTCACTCAACCACTCACCCACCCACTCACTCACCCACCCACGCACCCACTCACTCACCCACTCTCTCACTCACTCAACCACCCACTCACTCACTCACCCACTCACCCACTCACTCACTCAACCACCCACACACTCACCCACTCACACACCCACTCACCCACCCACTCACTCACTCAGTCACTCACTCACCCACTCACTCACTCACTCACCCACCCACTCACTCACTCACGCACTCATTCACTCACTCACTCACCCACTCACTCGCTCACTCACCCACTCACTCACCCACTCACCACTCACCCACTCACTCACTCACCCACTCACTCACTCACCCACTCACTCACTCACTCACCCACTCACCCACTCACTCACCCACTCACTCACTCACTCACCCACACACTCAGTCACTCACTCACTCACTCACCCACTCACTCACTCAACCACCCACACACTCACCCACTCACACACCCACTCACCCACTCACTCACTCAGTCACTCACTCACCCACTCACTCACTCACCCACTCACTCACTCACCCACTCACTCACTCACCCACTCACTCACTCACCCACTCACTCACCCTCACCATGTACTTCCAGCAGTACTGGAGAGACAGGCGACACTCTGTCTCCCTCTGTGTGTCTCTGTGTCTCTCTGTGTCTCTGTGTGTCTCTGTGTCTCTCTGTGTCTCTGTGTCTCTCTGTGTCTCTGTGTGCCTCTCTGTCTCTGTGTGTGTCTCTGTGTCTCTGTGT